TATATATATATATATATACATTATGCTTGAGCTGTATTTCGCTCTGATAGATCTTACGAAATCACGTGTTTCTTAAATGAAGCGCGATATCCAAATTTTTGAACTAAACTGTTTTTTCAAATACGCGTCATCTTAGTGCATTCTGGAAAATTTAAACTGTTAGAACTGTATAACGGGATGACACAGTTCATGAAGAGTGTACAACGGGATGACTGTGGTCAGTGAGCTTGCCTGCCAAGCAGGGTTTGATACTTCGCCATGACTCATGAGTACCTATTTACTTTTATGCCTTTTTTTTATTGTATTTCCTAATCAATTGAGTAAATCGATAAGATACATTAAGCTTATATCTTTTGAACAAAATCGTATCTTCAAGAGATAGAAGATAATAGAAAGATTTTTGAGTTTCATTGATGATGTGCTACAAGTTCAAACCGTAGAAGCGCTAACGGTTAGAAAATAAGGTTAGCTTTAAGGTTAACGTAAGACAAACGCTACAAGACCCAATTTTGGATATTCATGACAGCGATTAATGTAAGGTCAATTATAAAAATAATGTCTAGATGCTTACAAGTAAAAATAAAAGTACTAATTTCAGATAGGACTGTTACTTGATAATATCCATAACGAATGGCAGAAATATGTAATTTATTAAATTAATTGCATTAAATTATATTAAATTTTGTTCGAAAGTTCTTAGAAAAAGCAGTTTTAATTTTTTTTTGATGGATATTCAAAAAAGTAACTTATGAAAACATCTACCATCTTTACTTTGAGATCAAAATATTTTTGTGCAAAACCGACAAAGCTTGACATTATTTAAAATGCATTTTCTAAACATAAGTTACCCAACTGTATTCTTAAAATTACATTTAACAAACCTTTAAAATATGAAACACTATTTAATCAGTCAAATTTACTTACCTTTTGCTATAGGTAAGCAATTCCATATGGCTAGAGGTCCCAGTCCTGCAAATTGGCCGAATGCAAGTTCCATAAAATAAAGAGGCTTTCCAGCCAGAAGTAACATGAGCAGATATGGGATGAGAAAAGCACCTATATAGAAGAATTGTTAGACATTTTTCCCAAACACCATATTAAATTTCACATTATTTAAACATCTTAACCGAATTAATTTTATATTTACTAATTATTCATTTAGAAATATAAGTTCTTTTCCCATTCATTGTGTTTAATTTTACATAATTTAAATATTTTTATAGATATATTTTTTGTATTTACTCTTTTAAGAGCACGGTTTAATATAATAAGCATATTTCGTTTAGAAAGTTACTTGGTATTTTAAAAAAGAACAAACTTGGTACAAACATGTTAATAGTAAAAATGTTTCAATGACTTAAGAATTCGAATTACACTGGGAACAAATTGTTTCTTGCATTTATACAAGTACTTGAACTTGCCTAATTCAGGTGTGGGAATTTCTGATCTAAGATTAGTTTTATTCCTAAGGCTGCAATTGTTTTTTAAAAATAACATGTTTAGTCTATTTTTGTCAAAATTTAAAAACGTTATATATAACTAGGAACGTGTAAACACTGCGACAAATTGTTAGGGTAGTTAAAGGAACATCATCAGGATTTAAAATTGCGTATGAACACATGCCCGGAAATTTTGGCGTACATGGTTTGCGTGATCTGTTCAGAAGTACGCTAAGAAAATGTTCATATTAGGAAAGTACCCTTCGCGGCGTACGATGATATTTCCTATGCAATTTTAACTCATTAATGCCTAAATTTTTTAAATAACTTGATGCAAAAAAAAGCTCCTGCTAAGAAAGTGGTTATGTTTTTGAATGTGTGGAAAGTGGTTTTTGGAATATCTTTAAAAAAACTAATCCAAAAGGAAGAAAATTCCCCAGTGCTATTAGAAAATGGTTCATTCACCAATTGTTTGCTTGTCAGTACTTTCAAAAAATATAATTGAAATTATTTTTATTTATAATAAATATAATTACAACTCAAATCATAATTGACTCTTGAGAAAAGTACCACACGTCATAACACAGTTGACCATACACAACAGAATTTCTTTTCAAATCTTCATGCAAAAACCAAAGAACAGCTGAGCAAAAATTAACTTTTTGGATTTGGTTAAAAAGTTTTTATTACCGTCATTGAACAGCCGACCCAATTTTAGGTTTACGACTACTTAAGTTCAACTCCATAGCCTTGTAATTTTGAAACCAATCCAGAAGAGATTTCCTGGATCAAGTATTGGGAGAAATTTGACTTCTTGGAGGACTTTTTGAAGGAACTAATCCACATTTGCGTTACATGGAGAGGCAAAACACGAAAACCTCCCATTTTTAGCCTGACGGCAAGGGGACTCTCATCCATGATCCGTCTGCCACTGAGGATATTATACGTTAGCACTGTGCTCAGTGTGAGCCGGATTCGTAATTCGTACAGATCAGTCATCTCTAGGATTCGACCCGGTTCACCTTATTGGAAGGTGGATGCTCTAACCCCTGAACCACCACGGCTTTGATAAGAAAGTTTGGAAAAATAAAAGTGCATTGAAATTATATAATGGTTGAGTATATACATACACGCTATCATTAATGAGAGTATTGTATATTACACGGCATACCAACAAGCAAAATGGCGTACCTACACGAGGAATCTCCTCATGTGTTGTCTCTCAACTTAATGTGGCAGTAATGAGTATTTTAATATCTGTTTTAATTCAGATCGGAAGCAAAAATAAGTCTCTCACACTCAAAATTCGTCTCACTAACTCAAAAGTAAGGCAAATTTTTTTAAAGTTTGTTTCTCACTAATGATTATTATTATCATTCTTTTTTTTAATATTATGGAAGTGAAATATAGTAAAAATAATTCTTTTCAATTAAATTAGGTAAAAAGTAATTTAATAGAAATTTTTAATGTTGACACCGTTTGCTAAAAACAACGGTTGACACATTTGACAATACGTTTAATTTTTAAAGTGAATTTAAATTAGTAAAGTAAATTTTATGCGTAGAATAAAAAACACTTTATTTTTTGTTGTTTTGTTTTAAATTTATTGAAATGACTGCTTTGTTGTTTGAACGCAAAAAAACTGAAACAATGTATTGAATTTTTACGCCGTTATGTTAATTTTATCTACTTTTTTAACTCTATGTTTATAATTAAGTTAAAGAATTCTTACACTGAAAAAAATTCTCATCTCCCATTCTTTTGCATTCTTTTCCAACTGCACCGTATCTTCTTGACTTTTTCCCCATTACCAGCGTAATGAAACGAAGAATTCGGAATTTCTTTCCACCATAACTAAATTGGCTGATATTCTTTTACTTTGGCGATAAAATGAAGGAAAGAAAAGCATTTCAAGCAAACTTTATTTTTTATTTCCCTTACAATGGTAGGACGTAAGAGAATGAACAGATAATTTACTTGTTCAGATGGCGAGATAGTTTGAAAAAACATGCCATAACTGGTGGGGGTCATAGGGTATCAATTCCTTTCTAGTACCCTCAAAGTAAACCATAAAAGAAATTCAAGGGAGAATAGAATGAAGAAAATAAGGGAGAATTACCCAAATATCTTTTGTTTTGTACGAAATACTTTTCAGAATGGGAGTTCTTGATACCGTAAATGCTTCCGAAAAAAGCTCTTTTATACCAATATCACTTTAGTCACGTTCACTAAAATGATGTGATTATTTTCTATATTGAAAAGTCAATTTCCTTTCAAATAAACTGGGCATTAATATGATCTCTTTTGGATATTTTATGGTATTAGGGGACTTTGGGGGATCAACAAAGTATATTTACTTTTCCATTCATTTCATTTTTGAAAAGAAGATAGGAGGGTTTTTAATCAGCCGTAAAATAATTATCTTTTGTACCGTGCTTAGACATAAAAAAAATTGTTGCTCCCGTAAGAAAGTTTCGGTAAGTTTAAAACTGCTGTTTGGAACAAAATATAATGTGTTTTATTTTTATCACTATCATTGAATTATGCTTTATAAATCCATTATTTTGAAAGGAATTCGGGAGCGAGCTCTTACAGACCTCCCATTATTTCACGTTACTTCTCAGTTAAAATTGTGTGTTGTTGATTGAAATATAAAGATTAACGGAATATACTGCTTAATTTTTGATTTAATATATTTTTCTATATAACATATGAACATAATGGTCTAACACAATTTTCTCCAGTTGTCGGTGCATTTCTATTGTCCGGAAAATAATATGGTAAGATCCAGTTTTCCCACATTGATTTCCACATTGTTTTAGTTGTCATCAGAATAAAATTAATAAAAGAAATATAACTATTCTAAGGATAATTTACCTGTACTGTTATCATTATGCTGTTGATTTTGATCATTTTCTTAATCTAAGATTTTTTAAAAATTCTTTATAACGTAATATTACGCTACATTTTAAAATAAAGTTATTTAAATCGTGTCAATCTTATTAACTGGTGTATTTTTTGTGCAAATTACGTTAATTATACTATTATAAATTCCCGTTAAAAAGATTCGTTAAATGATTTAGAACTCTACAATCAGCTTCATGCACAATATGATATCTGCAAAATTTGTATTTAATATATCTACCCAATAGGAGGGGGGGGGGTCAAGTGAAAATATTAAATTACTGTTAGGAACTCACCAAATTTGTCATAAATTTTAATTTTAAAGCTTATTTATAAAAAGAATAACTTAAATTTGTATATATATACAAATTTAACTTATGATGCAAACTAGTTTGACTTCAAATAAGTTTCAAAGTATAGGTTATGCCCTAGATATTATACAACACACTATTTCATATTCCTGTACTTTTAAAGTTTTCTTTTATTTTTTTAGCTGTTGAGATGAGTTTCTTTTATTTAAAAAAAAATTTATTCTTGTTTCATATGATAAAATATTGACAAATTAGGAAAAACATCAGTGTAGGGATTGCAAGGCATTAATGTCGCGATTATTAATAACTAGAAGTCTTCGCCCCCTGCTCGCTGGCGCTCGCCAACCCCCGGAACTGCTTTCGCAGTTCATTTCGGATTGCTTCGCAGTCCAATGCTCGCTTTGCTCGCTCATTGGATACGCTCTTAACGTCTAGTTTTTGTATACTTTTTTGAACACTGAAGTTCCGAAAACTTTTCACTGTAGAAAATTCTAAACCAGTACATTTCAATATTAATTTGAAATTGCAAACAGTTCACATATTTTTCTTAATCACACTATTCTAAATTTCAGTTGTTGAGAAAAGTAACTGTTGTAAGTTTTGTTTTAAAGTCTTTCCCAACAGAGGGCTAAAACCATGAGAAAAAGCAATATGAAATAGTAGTCTGCCACTGAACGCCGGATATAAGGCATCGGCTTTGATGAAGATAATTTTGTATTTTTAATTCTCTGAAGGGCGCCACCCTAATAATATGGAATTAAATGCATATATTTTTGATTGTTGATGAAGCCCATCATTTTGTGTTTTCATCTGTGTTCAGAAGCAGAACAACTATAAGTTTTTTATTCTATCACAAAAATATAAAATGTGTAAAAAACAAAGAAAAGAGTAAGAAAAGGAGTATAGTCATAGAAAAAGTTAAAATTATAATATAGTATTTGTCAGTTAAAATAAAACTTTTTGTTTAAGTCATTGCTAACAATTCAAATTTCTCCGAGGCAATTCTAAAGTATAAATTAAGGTAGTATTGTTAAGTTGAAACACAATATTTTTAGTTTTGATGTCAACAATACAATTCAATTTTTCACAAAAACGATTGTTTCCATTGTTAAGTTCAATGTCAACAATTCAAATTTTTCTGAGGCAACTCTTAACCTCTAAATATTATTTTTTTATGTACACATTTCTAAATGTCAGTATTCAACCACAAAACAACTTAAAGTCCTCAAATTTAGCATGAAGTTGTAAAATGTAATGAAAGAGGGTCATAGCAATAATGAAAGTAGAAGTAAAGTTAGTACTGTAAAATTAAAACAATATTTTTAATCAATGAGCCAAGTTCTTCAAGAAGCAGTTGTAGAAGTAGGTTGTTTATTTAAAACTTTTTATAGAATTTCTTTAAGAACACAATTGTTAATTTGGGCATTTGGCGATACAACACTTTTAGAATTGAAGGATTTGTTACGTCAAGCGCTCAGGTATCATAATTTTGATCTAGTTGCGCTTCTATGTCATTTTGATTTATGTTGCTAAGTTAACTTTCAAAAAATTCTATGGCTGGCAACAGCATTTTTATTTTTTAAGTTGTTTATTTTTATTTCTTTTAGAATTCGTTATTTTTTTAGCGAAATGTTTTTTAACCTAACAGAATTCTTTGCCGACTGTTTTCTCTATGAATGAAGAAAATAAAGTAAATATTTAACTGTTGTGAAAAGAATCTTATTTAGTTGTACAAAGTACTTCAGCCAAAATTTGGGAGCCACGTAAGAGAATTATATATATTAGATCAGAAACACATCATTAAAAGGCAGAATGCTTTGGTGTTTTCAAAACGTAAACAAAGCAAAGCAAACGTTGCCACTGGCGGAAAAGAAATACAGCCAAAATTTGAGAGCCACGTAAAAGAATTATATGTAATAGATGATGTCAAGGTATTTCCTGCATTGATGTTTTTCTATGGTTAAGTGCCACTGACAGGTAAATATATTTACCCTGTATTCTCTACAAATTTGTTTCGTACTCACAGTTAAATGCAAACGTCCTGCTTATCCAACAGTGATTTGTTTTCTAATTTACCCTGATTCGGTGTTGTTATAATGATCATCATCTATTATTAATGATAAACAAATAAGCCCGTTAACGTAAAATTTGCGATTCGTAAAAATAATTTGAAAAAAAAAAAAAAATGATTCATGGTCCAAAAATTAGCATATCAGCCAAGGAAATAAATGGGCCATATGAAAGATTTATAACACTTATGGCCTATCTGATTTAAATTTATTTAAGACTATCACCACTCATTTTTCGGAGATATCAATTATTTGGTTATTTATCAAAAAAATCGAGTCAACAAGCGACGAAAAATATAGCTATACTAGCTAAATACCTGTTCTTCGTACGGGAAGATTGAAAAAAAAATCAATTAATCGGTACTGAACGACACTAGGAAATCATGCACAAAACTGAAAGGCATATACCGATGCATTTGAAGAGTTTAGTGAAAGAACCAGGAAAGTGAAACTTTAAAGGTTTTTATGAATCAGTGAAAATAACTTGAAGTGGTTGCATCAATATAGGCATATTTAATATGACAAAATTGTTTTTGGCTTCACTTCAACCTCAACGTAACTAATCCACATCAGGTTTCTTTCTCTCAGAAAATATAACTTACCTGGTTTCTTCACTTAAATATTTAAATAAATAAAGCTAAAATTAACTCGTTCTTCTTTATTTATTATTATTTGTTGCCCTTCCTCGTGGCTTTGCGTTATTACATTAAGCAATACACGGTTTTTGTAGTTCATTCCTTTTCATAGAGATTAACTGCATTTAGCGTCACTTGGCGTGATGATATTGCTCGCAACTCGTGATAGTCAAAATTTACCTCTATCAAATAATTGTTTCCGGTACATATTCTTTTCAAAGGAGCGTAAGGCACTGGTTTTAACAGTAATGGTATTAAAACTGCTTTTTTGGTGCAGTTTTAGTAATCTAAAAATATACCTATATAATACTTTATATCTAAATGAGTGTATTTGGTGCTTACTGCATAACCTTTCAACATTTGAGTTTTATGCGAAATACATTTATCAGTGGCAGCAAGCTAAAGCCAACATTTTTAAAACAAATAGAATTTTTAGAAGTCCTTGAGAAGGCCTTTGGAGCATGATCATTTCTCTATGTTACCTATATTTACTATTTAAATACATATAAGTAGTGATAGAAAAAGTTCTTTTAATTCTGACATATTAATAAACTATCTTTGCCATCAATGGAAAAATATTTTCTAAAACTACGGAATACCAGCTGTAAAATTTTTATTAAGACTGCATCAATTACCCTAGTACTAGTAATATTCATTGCCAAAATTAAGTAAGCGTTATCTGCGTATAAGGATTTTTTATGGTTCCCTAAGCAAATTTCTCATTATCCTTTTAACCTCTTATTTTGCTTTTTAAATCATAGCTTAAATTTCTTTAGTTAAATTAATAAATATTACCAATATTAATTAAGCATTGGTATGAATAATAATATTCCCTAAAGGAATAATTAGTCACTCTCCATTGATTTTGCATTTGAGTAGATAGGGAGCTACTCAGCGGTGGCCGTATAAATCAAGCCACCACTGGGATTAAAAACTGGGCCACTTCATTAGGAAGCGAACCCTCTATTACTTAAGCCACAGTCTCTATCATAAATTAATTTGTTTTATTTTATCACCGACGACGAACAGCGAACGAAATTTTTAGTTTACGACTACCAATGCTCAACCCATAGCCTTGTAATTTAGAACCCAATACAGAAGACAAAATGTGTCTTAATGGAGGACTTATTGATGGAACTAACTCGCATTTGAGTTACACGGAGAGAAAAAAAAACATAAATCATTTATCAAAATATATGGAAAACTCTTTCTTAAGAAATATTCAGAATCAACAGTCAGAGAAAGTTTTAAAGTAAACAGTTAGGTCATCTGTGACTTCGAATGAATATACACAAAATTTGGCACGAATTGGTTCAGAATTGTGGATTTGTATCAGGTATATATGTTACGGCCAAAGCCCGAAGTCCGGCCAAAGTCCGAAACTTTCTTGATTTCGGGAATTGGCCGGGCAGATCGCGAAGTGGCCACGATGTTCCGGCTAAAGTGCGAAATAATTGAAACGATCAGAGAATATTTTACTTTGGCGGCCTTCTATAATTATATAAATAATTCCTATAAATCTTCTATTTTAAAAATATAAAAAATAGAAGTTTTTAAACTGTCTATTAATTAATCATTAATTTAATAATCATTATTAAATTGTCTATTTAATTGTTTTATTAAAAAGTTTATTTACTAATATTGCCCCCTTTTTTTTCTTTTTTAATCTAAAAATATAAATCTTCTAATTTAAAAATATAAAAAAATAGAGTTAAAATAAGTTTTTAAATTAAAATTTAAAAAATTTAATTTCTACTTTGTCTGAAATGAAATCAAGAAAATTTCGGACTTTGGCCAGCCAATTTACAGCGTCCAATTCGCGATCTAGTCGACGAGATCGCGAATTGGCCGACTTTGGGCTTTGACCGCAACATACAAACATTCAGCTTTATTAACGATGATCATTACAAGCGTTATTTCAGAAAAAAAAGATCTAATGAATATATTTATTGATATAAATAATGGTAATAATAATAATAAATAAACAAGTAAATAAATAAATAAATTATGAATTAATATAAAGGATCAAAGATAAATTTATGAAATTTAATGATATCTAATGACTGAGATACTAATAATAGCATTAAATATCATTATATTTAATGACTGAGATACTAATAATAGCATTAAATATCATTGTGTATATCTAAATATTTGAACAATCTCAATAAATGTAATAAAATGCTTACCACCACCATGTTCATAGGCTAAATACGGAAATCGCCAAACATTGCCAATACCCACTGAAAATCCCACGCAGGATAAAAGAAATTCCCACTTGGAACCCCAGTTACCTCTGGAAGCTACGCTATAAGTAGAAAGTTTTCTTATTGATGCACTGCCTTTTCGATTATTTATAATGGAGGCTCTTCGGAGAGATGACCGAGATTGATGTGATATTCTTCTGTCATTTAGAGTCCGAGATCTTTTTGGCATTTCCGGCGAGTTTTCGTTGCTGCTGTCGACTCTTCCATCTAATATCTTACTGGTTAGGGACTTGTGATGAAAGGATACGACTTTGCGGTCCATTTGGTACCAGTTTTAACTTCCTTGGTGATTCTAAAATAATTGAATAAATGTTTACTGACTTATAGATAGATAATTATTTTAAGAAAAAAAATTGAATGTAGTTTTTTATTTATTATTTTGTTTTAAAATTCAATGTAAGACGAAAAAGCATAGGACAAAATTAGGAAATCGTGCTACTGGCCGGTGGTCACTTGTAGCCTTTTTAGCAATAGAGGCCCCCTTTTGTTTAAACATGTGGTTACTTTTTCAAAAATTGAAAGTTTAAAAGGCTTAAATATTGTAAGGCAGTGTTCCCCAACCTTTTTATCACCGTGAACCTGTCAACGTTTGATAATTTGTACAGCGGCTCACTAGGGGGGGGGACGTTGATTGTTTATATTTTAGATTATTTTGATTTATTTGGCACCAGTTTTAACTTCCTTGGGGATTCTAAAATAATTAAATAAATGTTTACTGACTTATAGATCGATAAAAATTTGAAGAAAAAAAATTATGTAGTTTTTTTTTACTTATTTTAAAAAAAAAAATTCAATGTAAGACGAAAAAGAAAAGGACAAAATTAGGAAATTGTGTTACCGGCCGGCGGTCATTTGTAGCCTTTGTAACAGTAGTGGCCCCCTTTCGTTAAAACATGTGGTTACTTTTTCAAAAATTGAAAGTTTAAAAGGCTTAAATATTGTAAGGCAGTGCTCCCCAACCTTTATATCACTGTGGACCTGTCAACGTTTGATAATTTGCACCGCGGCCCACTGGGGGGCGGGAGACGTTGATTGTTTATATTTTAGATTATTTTGATTTATTAATTTTAATTTAATAGTGTTTAAACATGCCTTCAAAATAAAGTACAGTTACACCAAAAAAATAAACATGAAGTGATTTAACATGTTAACTTACTAGAACGTTAAATCAATGGGTCACGATCGAGAAAGAAGACGAAGTTCTCCATTAGTTCCAATGTAAATTTAGCTCCGCTCTTTCGTGTTTTATTTATGATATTTACAGTTATGATGATTGATTTTTTTAAAATTAAAACTAATTGAAAGAGAGATGACAGTTGCGATGGTTTTCCTTTTTTTTTAACTTTTTGAAACATTGAAAAATTTATGTCACTACCTTCAGGGGCCCATTTTTTTTTAATGAATAAAATTTCAAAATGGAACAGAAATATTTTTAATTTGTAGTATAAACCTAGGAATTTAAATTCAGTTTCAATGAAATGGACTGCCCGGTACCATTTGATCCGCGGAGCAGTACCGGTCCGCGGACCGGGGATTGGAGAACACTGCTGTAAGGGATTTATTTTCCTTCATTCCAAGGTAAGATTGATTTTCTAGAGTATATTAAAAATGTTACGAACATGAAATCAAGTAATTTTCAAAATATTATAAAATATTCATAATAGTACTTTATACATTAAGAAAGTAAGGATAATATGCATATGGGGGCATTTTCGATGAAAAAAGGGAGAATCAGGTGGTGACTGGTTGACTATTTTTTAATCACCATTCGTCAAATTTAGTCGCCTTGTGGCCGGTGATGAACATTAATTTTGCCCTGTTCTAAAAAATGAACTTCTTCATGATTGAATGGAAATTACATGAATAATAATAAACACTACACTCTTTGAAAGTATGACATGTAGTCCACCCCTCTCAAATAACAATGGTTTCAACCAAGTGATGTCGAATAAGTAGTTTACGCTATCGCACACAGTGAATACATTAATTTAATTTAAATGCGATAATTCAATAAATTTTCTTTTTAAATAATATGCTTCGTAATAATTTCAAAAAATGACGAATTTTACTTGACATAAATAGTCTCTTCTAATACTGTAATTGTCACATTATTTTAAAAATTACTTTATTTAAATTTAATACTGAAAATATATGAATATTTTTTTAATATCCGTCGTTGAACAGCAGACACAATTTTGGGTTTACGACTACTAATGTTCCACTCCATGCCCTTGTAATTTTGAACCAATCCAGAAGACAAGGAATCTCCTGGATCAGTACCCCCAGAGGTATTAATTTGTTATTGGAACATGGAGGACTTTGCAACTCGACAGATTTAACGTGCATCAGTCACCATTTTACTACACGGAGAGTGTTCCGCCTGCGGGGATCGAGCCCACGAACTCTTGGACATGGGCCAAGTGCCCTACAAACTAGTCTATCCCAGCCAATATAAATATTTTATTATTTTTTATCAGAATATGGTTATTAACACACATCGACGTCAATATTTCTCGACCTCTTTTTTCAAAATGTGTATGTCGTATGCCAATTGGAAAAACCGGAATTTTGCAAATATCAATGTCCTTTTGTAATCTATCTGGCTAATTGAAATAAAGTTTTCTGTATATCATAATTTCTCTAATATTTTTAGTCTTATTAGAATAAGCCAATTTGCCGTTTGGCTAATTATGAAATGTATGTAGAATCACTCAATCCGGCTTTAACGGAACAATTAATCATTTTTTGTTAGCCTAAAGGTATGTGGGCTCACTATAATAAATTTCATGAGCGTCACAGTTAACCGAAAATAGCGAAGACTTTTTCGATTAGACTGGCGTGTTGGAGGCTGTTTGCAAAGAGCCTGATTATTTAATTAGCCTATGACAAATCGAATGTAAAAAGCTCATTCTCGGTACTCAGAATGACTATGCATTATTTCTAGGGAATTAAACGTCTGAATGATTATTGTTGAACGTAAAGTCAATATATGCTCACCGCCACCTGCCTGACGATGACCTGTCTTCCCGTCACCTGTCTGTTTGGGACGATGTGAATTGTTAAAATGCGGACCTTATTAGGGGTCCTTATTCAAATGACCTTATTTTGAATTTTTATCTTCATAGTTAAAATCTGATAAATAAAAAAACTCTTTTTGCGAAGGGCAATTTTCAATATTGGTATCTCTTCTGTTTGCTACTTAGTAAAAAAGAGATATTGGTTAAATTGTCTCATAATTCCATTAAATTGGGTTAACTGTTTATGTAAAATATTGATATTTCGTTTAGGAGTATTGCGTCTTCTGCTCAAGCGGTTCTCAGTTAGACTTATGGAAACTTACGTCTTAGTTTGCGCACTGGTTGTATTAGCTTGCGCAGAGGACGCATCTTTTCTGAAGAATTTTATGCAACAGCAATTGTTGAGTCGTCACATAACGAACGAGAAGTAATCTAGCAAAAATTTGATGGAATATTTTAATAAATGTTTTTTGCCTGTAATAGCCTGTTTGAAAGTCTTTGACAGAAAAAAAAACTATAACTTGAAAGTTTGCGACTTGGTAAATTAAAAGTTTGTAATTCCTGTTTACTGAGAATTCATTATGATAAGTCGTAAAATAGAACTATTTTACAAAAAGAAAACTTTCTTTTCAATTTTTTCTCATTTATGTTTCAATTTATTCAAGAACATTTGGCATAAAAAAAGAATTTAGAATATACAAAACCTTTATTGTTTTTAACAGGTCTAAGCACAGGTTTAAATAAGATCAAAAATTTCTCAATCTAACTAGCTTCCGGAAAATGTAAGCTTTCATTTGATATTGCTAATATTAATTTTCGGGATGTAACTTTTCTAAATTTAATACATCTGCTTGAAGTCTATTTAAGATAGGTACATATTAAGCACAATAACAAAATCTTGTGCTAAAAACTCTATTTTTTCTCAAACTGGCCTAAATGCAGTTTTAAATTTAAGGTAAAAATTTCCTTATAACTTGCTAGTGACAATTGTAATTACTGAGATTTTCGTTGCAGTTTTAGATATAGGTATAAACAAATCAGAAGTTAGTTTTTAAGTATTGAGTACATCCGCTTTACGTACAGTTACTATTTTAAATAGGTTTTTGATAAGCAAAACTACATATGCTTATCAAAATACTTATTCAAAATCTTGGGACAAAAGCTTTGTCTCATTTACATTAAAATACTAATTTTATATCTTAATTTGCCAATGAAAAACGTAATACTAAGCAATTCTTTGCTACCGAAAACTATAATGTTTGATTTGGGAAATATAATGTTTGGTTTTTTGATTCAGAAACATTTAAGTACAAACGTACCTATTTGCATAAAAAAGTGAAAAGAATTGAAGATAAAATTGGTTCACTTGAATGGAAATTCCTTCAAGCATTCAAAAAATTGTTGCAGATTATATGTGTTTTATTACCACACAGAATCGTAATGAATCCCATTGTTGAAGAATAGTTGAACAACAGAAATTGGTTTTACCAAGCAGCAGGAGTATAAAAAACTGAAACAACTACAACGTTCAATTAATGAAGATAAATGCCTTATTGATGACATAAGGCAATTTATTTTCTTTCATATAATTTTTGTATTGACTGCTCAATTTATTTGCCGTTCGTCGATAACAGGCTCATTCCATAACTAACACGAGCTCTTCTAGCAAGTTCTATAGTGTTATACATGTGCAGGTTAGTTACACTATGAAGAGTAAAATTTCCTTACGATACTCTTTACATATGACTTTCTTTTGGATTTTTGAGTGTACCTTTGATTTTAATATAAGTTTAGAAACTAGATTTACTATTTTAAGCTTATTAAATGCCATAGTAATAAGTAATATAGATAAATCCAAACACAATTTTATTTCATTTAAAACATTAGACCGGGAATATTTAAAAAAAATATTTTCATTAGTTTGAAATAATTGAAATATACCTGCATAAATACAATAATATAAAAAACTGAAATCATCAAGTTAACAGATAAAGGTACTTAAGAATATACATATAATTAATTTTGTCCACTGCATCAAAAGCTATACATTTATCTAAAATAGAGAAAATAAATGATAGCTTAGGAGGCATAACTTCGCAAACATTGATAATAAGAAAGAAAATAATTTATTTACTTACATTTATGCTTGACATTAATTCATTGTAAAACCAAGTAAAAAGTTTTAATTTAACACTAATTGTAGGTTAGTGGGAAACATTTTTAACACGCGTTATACACTAAAATATCTGCCTACGCTTTACCGAAATCCGCTTTTCGGAACTCATAACTCCTTCATTGATGCCCCTGATCGTTTGCCAAAACGCTTGACTTCAAGCCTTACCGATCCCTTCACGTGTCGGAGGTAGAATTCATATGCACCAAGGAAATGGATTCAAAGATTCATGCTTACAGCTCTCTAAGACCGAGTAGTTGGCAAACGATTTCAGAAGCCGCCCACCTTCCTGCGAGGTTGACAGATTCATGAACATATTGGCTATTAACTCTTTTAACGATTTTCCACACATCTCGGCAACAGAAATAAATCTTCCGATAGACAGAGCTTTACCCGAGGTTGTGATGTTTATATCTGTTTAACTCCTTTTCTATTTTCCAGTTTAGCCTTCAGATTTTAGAAAGTGATTTCCTCCCAAGACATGGCTTTATCTAAGTGAGGGTTTTTTGTCAACGGTGTGGAAGATAGTGAATTGTTTTTTATTTTTTATTTTTCGTTAAAAGCTTTCTGCAGTAGTGGTTAAATTTACTTGTTTTAAAAGATTTTATTTCACCACATAGATAAGACAGTATTTTTAGATCGGCAGCTTTTTATTTTTGGGTTAGCCAAGCTTTGAATCGAAAAGAGATAATACATATATTTTTTAAGTGTATCTCTTCGGAGTGAAGAGGAATTCTTTTAAGTATCTTTCGTTACATTATTTTCTGCTTATTAAATAACTATTTTTCGTATTTCTAGAGCAGAATAAAGACACTTTTCTCAGCATTTTGTTCAATATTTAAAATTTCTTAATATATGTGTGTGACTGAAAATAATAATACACTTGTTAACTGATATTTATGATTCGAACTAATTATCAATAATTAAAACTAAACTAATCCTTATTGAAAATCTATAATCGGTAACTCTTTATTTTTGGATTAGCTAAGCTTTAAATCGAAAAGAGATAATATATATATATGTATATATATATATATATGTGTGTATTA